AGTATGCTATAATCAAGGTATTATTCCTCAATTTAAAATGGAATACTATTATAGTTGTCCCATCTATCTATCTTATTTGAAGATTATTGGATAAGTTGACAATAAATAGTAAGATTTAAAGAGAATATAAAAAAGATTCTAAAAACTACAAGAATTTTTTATATAGTCAACTACTTTCAAATAGATGATAACAAATTAGTCTTGATCACTATTAACAATCCTAATTATTATCCAAAAGAAATGAAGGCAGGTACTAAAGAAGAAATGATTAAAGAGCTTTATGGAATAGAATAGGTTAGATTCATAAAAATCTGGATGGATAATTAAAAAACCATAATCGAGCTTAAAAAACAAGTGTTTAAAGAAGTCAACATAATAACAAAAGCCCTTAAACATAAAAAGTGATAAAAAAACAAGCCCTCTATATTTTGAATAGAGTATTAATATCTAGAATAGAATTTAGAATACAACATAATATATTGTTCTAGAAAATATACAATATCTTAATAGCATACAAAAAACTTTTTAAAAATAAAAGTGGTTTATTCAAATCTATGCTCAATAACATAATTCACTATTCAAAGATCCATAGCTTGAAAAGTGTTTGAATATTATAAAGGCAAAACCAAGTAACAGAACTTTGTAACAGACTAAATGATCTTGAATCAGCAGAAATTACAACAATTATTAGATTCAAACAAGCACAAATAAAAAATTGGGAATCAATCAATTTATTAATCTGCAAATCCTTAAGTTATCTAACAAACAAAGATAATTTTTCACTCCAAGTAATCAAAATTACTAAAGATATAGAAATAACATTTCACAGTTGAAAATACAAGATATCTTTGAATAAAAAAAAAGAAAACATTTGGATTAAAGAATATCTTGCATCAGAAGAATATAAAAAAGCTATACTATCATTTAGAAAAAATTAGTTGATATACTTGAACCAGCTAATCAATCAAAAAAATAAGAGATTGGTGAATACTTCATCTTTTACAAGATACAAGCAAAGGATCTATATCAGAATAGTTTTAAATTATAGTCAAAAATCTTCCAGGAGAACAACTAAAGCAACTTATAAGATCTAGAAGAGAAAACTATATGAAATGGAAACCAGAATACTTGAAAATAGATCTTTATTGAAACAAGCAAAAAAAATTGTGAATAGTAATAAGAAATCAAGTAACTTGAATAAAATTAAGACAAGAAAAAAAGAAAAATGTTGTAATAGTGAAGAATTTTATCAGTTGTAGCACTAACAATGATTAATAGACCAATATACAAAAATGTCTAGGATATTAGAAAATATAACATTAAATAGTAACTGTATTATAGAATAAGAAGTAAAATAAATATACATAGTATCATACCTCAATACAAGAAAGTTCATCAGAAAAACACAAGATTTAAAAATCTTCAATCTCAAGTCAACACTTTAAAAAAATATCAAAGAAGTGATTTATAGAAATCAAAGCCCTTTTAAGATCTAAAATAATAGAATAATAATATAGATATCGAAACCTGGAAAGAATCTATTATCAAGGAACATATTAAAAAAGAAGTATATCAAGAGTACCTGATAGATATACTTCAATATAACCTTAGATCTAAAGAAAAACTAATCTTCTATTTCAATGGATCACTTATTAATCATGAAAAAAAAGATATGAAGATAGGAGCAGCTTGAATATAGATAGAAAAAGAAGGAAAGGAAAACAAGTTCCAAACAAGAGTAAACAATTGACCCTCATTTACAAGAGCTAAATTGATAGCAATCATAATAATATTCCTGGTAGTTTCAATTGAAAGTATGGAGGAAATCTTTACAGATAGTCAAGTATATATTTTTAAGGAGAAATCTTTAGAAAAAAAAGATTCAAGAAGGACACATAAAAGATAACTCAATGAAAAAAATTAGTTTCTATGGGATACATAGTAAAGCTAATAAAAAGAAAAAATATAGATCTAAAGCTCACAAAAGTTAAGGTACATTCAAATGATTCTTATAATAAAGAAGTAGATATCTTAACTAAGAAAGCCCTAAAATTTTACTGATTGAATAGAAAGATCTCATTTTACACAAAATTATTATTGAAATCAAATGATAAGGAACAATTCTAGATGATCCAATTAGGCAGTTTATTAAGAATATTAATAATAAAACAATAACCTATCAGTGGATTCAGCAAAACAGAACCGAGAAAAAATAGAATTATCAGATTTCAAAATACTAGGCTCATATATAGGATCTAGTATAAGAAAGAGTTAAAGATGGATATATGGGGAATACATATTTTAAACAATTATAACAAAGAAGTTTTCTAATTAAACTAATCAATAATGAGCTACTTACTTTAAATAAGTTGACTATAAAAAGATCAGATCTATATAAACAAGTAAAATATATTGCATATAACTAATAAGATGAAATTACAGAATACTTGCTAGAATGTTCAGTCTATAAGAATTAGCTACAAGAGATATGAAATAAAGAAGTAGATGAAATTATTAGAAACTTTAAAGAGCTACTATAGGAAAGAAAAAGAGAGACAAAAGAGAAAAATTATAGGCTGATCATCGATAACTGAAAGAAATAGGAGAGTTTGATAAGTGAATCTCTAAAATAGTGAACCAGATTTCTAAAACCAGTCAAAATACATCAAGTTTCTGTACTAGTCTTATAAAAACTGATCTTATTCTAGAAATAGTAGGTCTAGAATATCAAGGTAACTATATAGAAAGAATAGCAAGAAAATGAATAATAAAAATACAAAAAAGAGTTTACAATTAGGTCTAAAAAGAAGTCTGGAATAAGAAATACAAAAAGATAATCAAACGAAAACAAATACAAGAAATTAATAGAAAAAACAAGATAAAAATATCTTCTTGTCTTTCAGGCTAGAAAACTATGATCCTAAAGTCAAAGAAATCCTCTACCTGAATATAAAAATCTAAAGATGAAAGTCTCTAAGAAATTTTAATAAGAAGGGTGAAATATAAAATGAAATGGTTGGATTTTAAGCTTTGTTAAAACCTTATAAAGTGATTTGCAGTAATGCCCTGCAGGTAATAAAGTTAACAGTTGGAAGGGTTTTTATCTAAACTACTAATAGAGTGATAAATCTTGTACTTGGAGTTTTAATAATTCTTAAAATAGAGATGAGCCTTTACCTAAACTACTAATAAAGTGATAAATCACTTCCAAAGTTGCACTTAAAGTTTTAATAATTCTTAAAATAGAGGTGAGTGGGTTAGATAGAGACTTAGCTTTAGTAATATATTTTTAATATAAAATATATATATGTTTAATAAAACATACGCATCTAGTTTGACAGAGTATTTTAAAAAAAAATTAAAATTAAAAAGTTTTTTTTTTAAAGTCATAAATTTTTAAAAATATATTTATAATATTAAAAGATAAAAAATAAATAGTATAGATTACAAACTTTATTTTTATTAAATTCTTTAAGTGATAAAAGACTTTACTAGACAAAAATTAAAATTTTTTACTTTTTTTAAATTATTTCAATTTAATATTTGCTTAAATAACAAATTTATTAAATTAATTATTCAAATATTATAAATAGTAACAAAAAAAGATACAAATTAAAATAAAAAGATATTTTAATTAAATAAATCTTTTTAAAGATAAAATTATTGTTTTTTTGATTAAATTTTTAAAAAAACTTTAAATTGTCTTCTTCTTTTTTTTTAACTTAACAATTCATTGTTTTTTGAATTAATTAATAGTAACAAATTATTAATAATTAAATTAATTTTTAAAGAACTAAAATATATTTTTTAAATTTGATTTAAAATATTTAAATATAATAACAAAATAATTATTTTTATAAAAATTTTTAATAATATAGTTAGTTATATAAACTTTACAATAATAATAAGTTGATAGTATAATTATAGATTTAAAAAAATTATAAATATTTATAAAAAAAAAAATCTTCAAATATATTTTTTTTCAATTGAACAAGTTTATAAAAAAATTATTATAATATTAAAAAATAAATAAATAATTATATAATATGTTAATATTAATTTTTTATAAAATCTTTTAAGTACTAAAAAAAACTTTATCTAAAAAAAAATTAAAATTTTCAAGTTTTTATTCGGATCAAATAATACTTAAAAAAATTTTTTTTATTAATTAAGTCAATTATTTTAATATAATATTAAATCTAAAAAATATTATAATTAAATCCAAATATTTGAATATTTTCAAATAATTTAAAGTTAAATAATATTTCAATTGGATATATTTCTTTCAAAAAGGGATTGTTAAATTGATTAAAAACCTCTTAAAGAAATCGTAAATAGTTTCTTTTTTCTTAATTTAAAATTAGCAATTTATTATTTTTTAAAATAATCTATAATAATAAATTATAAATAATAATCTTAATAAATAGGAATCTAGTACTAATCGACTAAGAAAGTAAAATATAGTTCTTTAAATCTAACTTAAAGTGCCTAGTTTAAATTTTGTTTTGTTTAATCCAAAATAATTTAGTGAACTTTTTATATTTTTTAAATAATATATTCCTTTAATTGATAATATATAATATTAAATTAGTCATCATGTAAATAGTCAATGTAATATTGCAAATGTCTATTTAATATCTCAATAAGGACATGTCATGATAATATTATTATGAATTAAAAATAATAATAATAGTAAAAAAAAAAAAAAATTTTTTTTTCTAATACCATGTTTCTTAAATAATATATATAAATGCTTTTAAAATTCTCTTTTTTGATGTCCTTTATATACTGTAATTTACTTTAATAATTCTGTAATTAATTGAATAATTATGACTTAACAACCTAATCAAAATAATTTTATTTTCTTAAATCAGGAAAGCAAATTTATAAATTGCAAATTTTTCAAACCTAAAATTTGTTTAAACGCATAAATTCACAGAAGCACGCTCTGAAATCTAATTGATGTAGTCCATACGAAACAACAACAAAAACACTTTGTATTATCGCTTTGGCGACCCTATAATCATTAAATTTGAAGATTCAAAAGTCGACAAATAATAATTTATGTTAAAATTGTTCAAATCGCGTGCAAATGATTTATGTAGCAATTAATTTATGAATTTTATTCCAATGCCATGTCTTTCTTGATCATGGCAATGGCACGTCCTGGATTCAATCCCTTTGGGCAGGTCCTTGTGCAATTCATAATGGTATGACAGCGGTAGACAGAAAAGGGATTTTGAAGGGCTTCGCGTCTCTCTCGTCCATAATCATCCCTCGAATCGACCATCCATCTATAAGCTTGCAGTAAGACAGCTGGACCAAGATATTGATCAGAATTCCACCAATAACTTGGGCAGGAGGTTGAACAGCAAGCACATAGGATGCACTCGTAAAGGCCATCAAGCTTTTTACGATCTTCGATCGATTGATAATTTTCTTTTTCTCCTTCCTTTGGAGTGGTCTTCTTCTTTAAGTATGGTTCGATGGACTTGTATTGCTTATAGAAATGAGTAAGATCGGGAACAAGATCCTTAATAACATACACTATGATGTAAGTTTCTTGAAAGTGAGTATGCAAAATAAAAGAATAATTTCAAAGCGAAACCATTTGCATCAACTTACTATGAGGTAATGGATAAATTTTGGTGGAATTTGCGTTACGGTCGATCTTGGATAAGCAAGCCAAGGTGTTTACACCATTGATGTTCATGGCACATGATCCACAAATGCCTTCGCGACATGAGCGACGAAACGTTAAAGTGGAATCCTCTTCGTTCTTAATTTTTATCAAGGCATCAAGAACCATAGGTCCGCAGGAATTAACATCAACTTGATATTGTTGCAAGTGAGGTTTTTCAGCAGGAGCATCGGGATTCTAGATTCAACCACAAAACGTTAAATACCCAAGTAATTTAATAATGGAATACAGTCTCGACAAATATTTAAATACCCAGCGATAAATTGCAAAAGTTTTAAATAAGGGTTCCTTCTTAGTTAGTGGTTCTTCAGTCAAGGAGGGCGAAGTAGTCTAAGGAATATTTCAAATAATTTTAGTTGGCATAAAGAATCGATTAGCTGGAAGAGAATTACCTGTATTTCTGCATTATGCGAGGAAGAAGAGTTCAGGGAACGTGTAATACGTATCGGAGTCTAACGAATTATTGCAAATGCTTAATTTACGATGATAACGATTATAAGGCAAAACAGTAACGTACAACATTGAGGCTACGTTTAGACACTCTTGCTGAAACTTTCGAAAAGTTGAGAAATTTTCTCATTTTTGTGAACATGAAAAAATACGTAGATGCTTTTTTAATTGGTCGTCCGAATGATCGTTAAAAGCGGTTGGCCAATATTTCATCTAGATTATGCGTGTTTCCACATTAATATAATCCATTATGTACAGTATATAATATCGGATAAAAATTACTCCCGCATGGATGGTACGCGACAGAAAGAGGCAATGGAGATACGCAAAGAAAATATTATCAACTATATGAAGGAGCATAAAAATACGCGTCCTATATCACTCTCTGAATTGCAAAGTCAACTTGGAGAAGAATGTTGCACTGTCTTGCAAGAACTTATCGCCGATAATACAATGTACGTCGTGATGAAATATTCAATGTCATCGCGTTACTTTTAACTTATAAGGAAAATTGTTTTAGAATGGAACGGAAATTGGACATTTGCGACTCGGTTTCAGACACAATAACATTATATTACCTCAAGGTAACGAGATTTCACCAGCCATAGCCGCAAATGAAATTGCTTGACATCTTGCAATTACTTAGCATCCAGAGACTATCATTAGTTCACAGTCGGCACTTAAGGTACGTACGTATATTTTTGCGATTTCAACATGTGCAGAATTTAATATATTCTACTCTGCCTCGCCAGAGAAAATTATCGCAAGAAACAAGCACTCCGCCCGAGTCCAATGTAACTTCTGAAAAAGTTGGTATTTCAGCCAAGGTTTTTAAGAAGCCATTGAGTATATACTCAAACGATGCAATGATATTATAGGAAACTCTAACAAAACATATTCACTCGCTTCAAGCACAATTGGATAAATTATGTCAGGAAGAAGCAACCTTAAAAGGCCAACTGAAGTGAGTATTCGGCTTTATATTAAATGTAATTCAACACTAACAAAAAATATACGCCAATAGGGGTAATGTAGATATACAGAAGACATTGGATGATCATTATCGCCGTTTGCACGAGTACAATGGTATAAAGGACATTGGTCAGATGTTATTCGGGAAAGTAAGAATTGGGTCAAAAGAAAACTATCATATATCGTCACTTAATAATTCTATTTATAATATACAATTAAGTGCGCCGAAATTGAAGGTACAACGACGAAAGAAATGTACAAACGATTTGGGGTCGGTCTAGGTGATTGAAGTTGCGTGCGACATGCCCGAAGTTGACTCATGACTAGTCGAATTCCAAGATGACGATCAGACCACTTTGATACCCCAATATTATACGATGACAATCGATATTCATTGTCCAAATTTTTTCTATACTAAAATCGTAATCATCAGAATCTTTACATCGAGGATATTTGATCACTATTGGTCTTTCTTCATTGAAATGAAACAAATACAAAGTGTTTATATCCGCGCTTACTAATCTACCCTTTCGAGTGTCGAAATCATGTGCGCGATGCGTAAAACCGTGTCTTATTCGGCTTATTAAGTGTGGTAGCTCTAAGATCCGTCCATGCAGCTCATCGATAGATGGCATAGTCGATAAGTATTTGTGAATATACGACCAGCCCAATAATCCTGTTTCAAAAGTAGCTGAAAACACGCATCTCCCACTTAACAGATCGAAAGCCTTAATATCTCGTCCGCACAATGATAAGACCGTGGAGTCAAATATCTGAACCAGACTTGCCTAAAAAGAAATAATTTAGGAAACTCGAAATAAACATGAATCCTAGTTCTTAGAGTCACCGGTTAAAAACTTACATCCGCAGGTATCGTTACCATTTTTTCTCCGGATTTCCAATTCCAAACGATCACGCTACCATCAAAGGCACAAGATGCGATGAACGATTCGGACAAACTAATGCATCTTACAGCGCTAACGTGACCTCTTAACTCGTTTATCAACTCACTTGTCTCCATATTCCAGATAAAAGAAGAGCTAGACGAGAATTAATTATAGCAGATCGAAAGACATTACTAAACTCAACATAACGGGTTATCACTAACCGGAAGTAGGTTGATGCTGCAACAATTTTTTCTGCAGGTAAAAAATCAACACAGCTAAACACGTTTCCTGCCAACGTGAGTTTACACTGACCAGTTTCAAGATCCCATATTCGCACTGTTCTGTCATTTGATCCCGTGACCAGGGTGTTGCCTTTTAATTTTGCGTCATTTACACGATCTTTATGTCCTTTGAGAAATTTGATCCTCTGAACTTCCCCATTGTTCCAATTAATTTCTTCCCTATACATTTGTCGATACAAGAATTCCCAGCCATGTGGAGGTTCCTTTATTCTTTTTACTTCTCCTTGTTCGAGCATTAATACCTCTAAACATTTTGCCTTCCAAATGGTGGAATCTTGCGTGATGTTTTTCCATTTATTACTGACCTAATTTATCGAACGCAAGGTAAGATTTACGAATAGTTTGAGAGATATTTAGATATTCATTACAAACCTTACGACAATTGCATAGATCTTTGCCATCGAGTTGTTTGAAAATTTTAATCGAAATCTCGAGTGGTAAAGCGTCGATGATATCAAGTCTGCCGCTATATTTGTCTTGCAGTATTTGTTGTAAAATGTAGATTTCGTATGGGTTGCATTCTTCAACTAAAGCCTCTAGGCTAGAGCAGAATTTATAAAAGAAATTTATAAATATGGGTAGACGTTTACCATTTGGCTTTCACCTTACTTACAAGATTTTGCGTCGTTCTTTGTCAAGCTCTTTAAAGGGTGAGATTGCTTTTTCGATTTGTTTCGCGGCCATTGGGACTTGGAATTTAATGGTTCACTAATAAGGCCATCTTCATATGTCAGCATTAATCACGTGATATTTAACAAAATCTATTTTTTTAACACTTGTAAATAAATTATAATTTTTTTTATATAATATTAATAATTATAAACAGGTTTTTAAAAAGAAAAATAAAAACAAACTCGAATGTTCCTCATTAAAATTTTTAAATTAATAATTATAAAAAAATTATTCACAATAATTTTTTATTATTTAAATCATTAATTTATAATATTTTTTAAATTATATTTCTACTAAAATAAAGAGTTATAAATTTTATTTCTATTAAAATAATAAGTTATAAATTTTGTTTCTCAAAAAAAAAATAAGTATAATAATTTACAAAATTTTACATATTAAATATTTTATGAATTTATAATTATCTATAAATTAGATTAGATTGTTAGTTTATTTATCAAATACTATAAATATCTAAGTATATTTTAATTTAAATAATATAATATATATTATAATAAAAATTTTTTTAATAAAATCTATTATAACCAACTTACTATAAGCATTAGAAATTTCTAAATTTTAATCTTGAAAATAATATTTTATTCTATAATAGATTTGAAATAAAAACTTTATTAGTTTATATATCATCAATAATTATTATATATTCTATTAAATTACTAGAATATAGAAAATTATAAAGAGAATAGATCAAGAAAAAGAAAGAGTATATTTAAAAATATAAAATTTACTTTCAAAACTTTTCTCAATAAGAAATATTTTATAAATATATATATATATTTTAATTATCTAAAAAACAAATTTATTTTAGTCATAATTTGTTTCTTATATACTGTTTAAAAAACTTATTGTCTACTAAAAACTTTTATTTTTAATTTTAATTCTAAGTAATAATGGAATCTTTATTGTTAATAATATTTTTTAATAACTTTGAAAAAAATATATTCTTAATTATAAGCAAAAAATTAAAACTTGATATAAATTGAAAACTACTTGATTTTAATATCTAATTGGAATAAGAAAATAATTTTAATCTTAAAATTTGTTTAATCAGAATAATAAAGAAAAAAAACTTTAACTTAAATAAATAATAACTTTTTTATTATTTGAAAACTTGTTATTTGGATAGTATTAACCTTATAAAATTTGATATATAATTAATCTAATTAAAAAAATAAATAGAAACTAGAAATTAATTAACTTTTTCTTTTATTAATAATATTATTGTAATATATGTTATAATTAATAAGCACTTATATTATCAATATATCTTATATTAATTCACTATCTTTAGTAAAAACTACTAATATTAATCTATAATATTTTAAAAATTAAAATTAAACTAAAATAAGCAAAATTCTCAAAAAGATTAAAAAATAAATAATTGTAAAGAATAAAAATAGTAAATAAAAAAGTTTTCAAGGTTTAAATTTTTATTCATATATTCTTTTATCAAAAAAAGATCTCTATATATTTTTTTGCTTTAAAAAAAAATTTGAATATTATAATATTGTTTTTTTTTTTTTTTTTTTTTTGAAAACTTTTTTATCATAGATATAAATAATTTTTTTAATTTTTTTTAATTATTAAAAGTCAGATTTTTATATAAAAAATATAAATAAAAAAAAAAAAGAAATAAAAACAATTTTTAAAATTATATTTTTGTTATTTTAAAAAAAGTAATAAGACCTTATTAATCTAAAATTATAAAACTGTTTGCAAAAATCCTTTTTATATTTTTTTAAAAGATTAATATAAAGAGTTTTAAACTTATTTAAAAATAATGAAATTATAATTTAAACTTTTAATAATAAAATAAATACAGTATACAGTATATAAGAAGTAAAAAAATTTTTTAATAAATTAAAAATATTTATTTAATTAGATTTATTAATTATCCTATAAAAGTTATATCCAATTATTTGAACCAAACTTCAATCAGGTTAAGCTATATAAAATAAAACTTCTGATCTTTCATTAATTAGAAATTAAAATTTATGATTATATTATCAAAAAAATTATATAAAGAAAAACTTTAATATAACTTTTTGCAGATATTTTGATAAAATTTTTCTGTCCTGACAAATTCCAAGACCTTACTTTCCTAGCTCAGGATATCTCAATCTAATGCTTTATTTAATTAAAAATCAATCAATAGGAATTAATTTAATATTATAAGTGGTAATAAAAAAAGTATATGTCTCCTTTTGAAATCTGAGTAAATAATATCTAACAAATATTGAAAAATATAATTCAACCTATCAGGTACCTATTAAAATAGAACTAGTTTAATGAAATATAAATAATAGTATAAGTTTAATATTAACTAGTCTAGGCTCACTATTTATAACTATATATTAATTATCTAGTCCTTATATAGGTCTATTCATTTTCATAATGTTAGTAGATTTATTTAATACAAAATACATTAAATTATCATTAATCTATATATATATAACTTATATGAAATAATTGATATTATGTTGTTATTAAGTAATAATTCTTAATAAATAAGCTTACATCTAATATCAGTTGCATTTAAAAAAAAAATTTTTAATTAATTCTTTAATTATTAAAGTCTTATTACTATCTTAAAATACTTAAAAAGTATTTTTAAATTACTACTATATTTTTTTTTTATTTATAATTTTTTTGAATTAAAAACTTAATATTAATAGTCAAAAAAAAGTCAAATAATATTTTTACTATTAATAATAAAAAAAATTCTTAAAATAAAAAGTTTAATTAAAAGGATATCTAAAGATTTTTTTTATTTTTGGAAGCAAATTTTTATAAAGAATTTTTTATAATAACAAAACTTTTTTTTATTATTAATTGTCTTAATTTTCTTTAAACTTTTATTTTGAAAAATTTTACTTATCTTAATTTGATTTTAAATTTTTAAATAATATAATAATTATAAATATAATTGATTAATATAAAAAATTTAATTTTGAAATATAAACAATTTTTTATTAATTATATTAATATATTTTAATAACATTATTATAATTAAAAAAAAAAAGTCTTTAAAAATATATTTTTTTTAAATAAGCAAATATATAAAAAAAATAATTATAATATCAAAAGATAAGTAAACAATTATATAATATTTTTATTTTTTATCAAATTTTTTAAATAATAAAAAAGTTTTTTTTAAAAAAAAAAACTGTTATTTTTAAATTTTATCACAATTAGACAAAATTTTGTAGAAAAATTTTTATTATAATTAAATAAACTTTTTTAGTATAGTATTAATATAAAGATAGAATTTATCATTTCCAAAGACAAAAATAGAGAAACTGACAATTTACAAGGCAAACCAAGATCCAAATCACTATTTAACAGAACAACTTGATACGGACAAGAATGCTATAAGGTCGGCATCCCAGTGAAACTAATTAAAGGAAAAACAACATACCAAAAACTAGAACATATCATCCTAGCCCTCAACTTATTCAAAGGACTTTTGATAGTATGTAGTGAAGGAAAAAAAGAAGATATGCAAATTATTACTATCTTTATAGATCAATATATAGCAGAATACGCAACAACCATAGAGCTCCTAAAAATAAATAATAATAGGTTGATGTATATGGAAACTGAATATCAAAAAACAATAAAGGAAACTCTATAGTAGTGTGTGACATCTCTTAAACACAAGACTTATAGAAGTCAAACAAATCTTTGTCAAATATAGTCAAATCCAAGGTATCACTATGAGAATTCAAAACTTGTGACAATATGTCACAATCACCTTCAAAGATTAAGAATCCAAATGCAAACTAGTAAATGTCAGAAGTATCCTAATCAAAGGAGACTCAATGAGAATCAATAATGTAGAATAAACACTTCAACAAATAAAACAAGTTATAAGATCATAGCAAAACTCACGAACTTTCCTCCCAATATATCAGCATTGAATATTAAAAATATTCTTATACAATACAAGGAATGAAAATGCTATATTTCAATATTAAAACTCTTTCTGCTGATCCTCTGACCACATACAAAAAAGATGTTCACAAGAAGTTTTTATACTTTTTTGTTAATAAAGTCTTAATACTTTCCTTAAAATAACTTGAAGTATGACTTCAAGAGTCGCCTCTACCTTTCCCTTTTATTTACAAACCTCTTCACTCAAAAACTTGACTTCTAGTGATCAAGAAAAATCAAGAAACACCTTTGATACCAATGGCAAGAAAGTTCCCAAAGGAAGAAGAACTAACTGTAAAGTACCTGAAGGTCTATCTAACCTTTGAAGCAAGAGGGATATAGAGGTTTTTGATGACAGAAGGGCTTATTTTTCCCCTTCCAGTTACTGTTGAACCTCTTAGAACTATTACTTTCATAATTTTCTGGGGAATTTTGTCTATCTCAGTTTGACCCTGAATTTTTGGTAGCACAAATCCTCACCAAAGGTGATTGACTGACATGAAACATGTTAGTTTTTGGAATGTAAACAAGCTCCTATTGGTCACATTCCCATGTTCTGATGACATTATTGGTGATTGGAAAGAATGTTCTGGAAACGGTTGCTTCAAAAAGCTCAAGTCCCTTAATGAAGACTTTCATGACACCAAAAGATCAAGCGATAGGTAATGTGAATTGCAAATTCCTATCTCTTACCTAAGTTTTTCAAGTGGTGACAAAGCTTTAATGGTAAAAAGTTGAGGTCTAAATACTTTTCTTGAAATATTCCAATCTGATGCCACTTAAATTAAAGACCAGTTGGATTGACTCATTCGATGCCGCAGGTGGTGAAAAAGAAGATTTCTTTCGAGGTTCAAGTGAAGCAAGAAGACTATCCCAATCAGGCAGATCCCTTTTGAGAAGAGGTTGTTTTTATTTTTGAATTTTTTTGATAGGCCTTGAATTGTTCCTTTCTCTCAATCGTTTTTCCCCTTTCTCTTTTTTAACTTAGCAATTCATTGGTTTTTGGGCAATCAACAGTGACAAACTGTTGGCAATGATCCTGGTAGATAGAGATTATTATC